GGGTCTGTATTTAATGTACAAATGCAAACGTCACAGCACACAAGGCATCTCAATTTGTGTTTGTCTCCACTTCAAGAGTCAAAAACCACCAGCAACAGAGAAACATGGGAATAGGCACGGAAACAGAAAATGAAAAGGTTTCTTGTGGTTCCAGATGTTGCAGCAGGCTTTGCAGAACACATCAGGGTTTCACAGAAGAGCATTAATCAGATACTGCAAAGCTTCAGGGGGATGAGGGGGAGAGACAAGAACTGCTGCTTTCATCAAGCAAGAGCAGTGGCCTTGTCTTTAGCCACTAATAAAAAAATAAATAAGATTGAAAAGAGAAGGAAGCACATTCAGACTGTCAGAGCTGATCCTTTTATCAAGAGAGCTGTGGGTGTGGTATGAAATGCAACAAATCAGGAAAGTGTTACTATTCACAGTAAATACTACAATCTAATTTGTCACACAGAAGGCAGCAATGTAACCGCGCTCTACTGCTAAGAGTTCACATCACTCTCAGGTGCCAATTTACAGCATTCCCCTTTATCTCCACTGTTCCTCCAGCTCTGGATTGCTCCAGGCACCATCCTGGCAGATAGCCCAGGCTGAGAAGCTGCCACTGCTCCATGCTCCGAAGCTGTTCCTGCTGTGCGCTGTGGGACAACTACTCAACCCAGATGCAGACGCAGCATGCCTGGATGCTCTCCTTTGCAAGCACCTCTCCTGCTACAGTGTCCCCCCAAAAAAATCAAGCAAGTTCCTGGTCTTATTCACGATTTAACTGGAAAACAGATTGAGAATGAAGCTGCAGCTTACAGAAGATACAGAGGAATCAAAAGAAAGCCACACATTATCCTTGAGGGACATTTAATCCAGGTGTATCCAGTGCTGGGCAGTGCCACCCAACTTATTCTGTGATATTTATGAGGTCTGAGATGCTATTAAATCTTCTGGAGGACTGCTTTCTGTGATCCCAACTCCTGTCACTGAGAACATAAATGGGACAAAGAACATGAATGCAATATATGTAAAGCTGACACAGGCAGGCATGCCCTGGTGTGCAAAATTTTCCAAGACAAATATAGAGGTGAGGGAGGATTCCAGGTTCAAATCATCACTTGCAAATGCAAAGATTTTTTTATTTTTTTATTTTTTTATTTTATTTTTTTTAGGTCTTAGGCAACTGATCATCTTCCAGAAGTAAGAAGCAAACAAAAGCTGGTGCCACCTCCAAGAAACACAAGCAGATGAAAGGCAGAGCTCTTGAGTTCTCTAGCACCTCACCCACTCACGCTCAGCTGGAAAAGTCACCAACCTGCTCCTCCCATACTGCCCAGTTTGAAAACTGTTGGGTTTGTTCCCTTTGCTGTATCACTCATGAACACAGCACCTAATTTCCCAATCTTTCTAACTTCTACTGTAATAACTGCCCCTGGAAGCATAAGTGAGAAGAATGGAGAACCAGGCCTATGCCATGCAGTGTTTCTAGAAACAGGGCAGACAGTGGGCCAGGAGGAAGCAACTCCCCACTTGCAGGCAGATAACTGACCTTTGGCACCAGGAGAGCAGGGGAACACTGGGAGTTCAATAAACATAGCAGCAGTCCTTCCTGCACTCTGGGACACCAGTGGGGCTCCTTAGGAAGCAGCTCAGCAGTTACCTCAGCAAGCGGCTTTGTGCCCTGCCTTACTGAAAGAGAACTCTGTCTTTCTGGAACATGGGGGTACAACCATAGCCCTTTTGTAAAGAAAACATGCAGACAAAAGCAGAACCAGGGCTTATAAAACAGAGGGTCAAGCAGGGAATCTGGGAAAGCATACAGTAAGACTCTCATTCTGTTGAATGAGACTATTACTTTCCTGTCTGAATACCTTAAGAACACGTCACTTATCTCTGAAGCAAGCTTATCTGCTTTTTCTCCGTACGGATGTCTGTCCTGCCTGGAGGATCTAGCTGTTCAACTCAGACAAACATGTCTTTGAGATTTAATACCTTTGTAAGGTCAATTTTATCAGTTGCAAAATTGAGGCAAACCCCCGGGAAAAATAAGACAGACAAAATATCTTTGAAGCAGAGTGACTGCAGTTCCTGGGTATTTTCACTAGTGCCACTCACTGCTTAGAGCCAACTCTGAGCCAGACCACCACACAGAGGCAGTGTTTGCCCTCAGTAAGGGGTTAACCAGCACAGGAGGGCATTGATGTCCCAGGGCCAGCAGAGATGAGGGGGGCAAGAGACTGCTCCTGCACCTTGGCAGAGCACAGCTGCCCCCAGCCAAGGAAACAGGACCCAGTATTGCACATAAGTAGTGTTCATTGTTCTTATTTGTTGGCTGATCTTTCCATAAGAAAATTTCTCTTGGAAAATCAGACCATCTGAGGGAGAATGCATAGTAATTACATGGTGCCTTCTGTGCTCTCCAGTTTCTTAATACAGGGGTGCCACAGAAGTAACATTACTCTGGCTTTGTTCTCCTTCCTAAGAAGACTTGTACAAAATAACTAATTAATGTCAGACTGTTAATGAGCTATTGCTGTGAGTGACTAGAATAAGCAAACAGAACATACTTAACATTGCAGGTGCAAACCCAAGGACAAAAAACAGTGGAGGAAGCCCTTCTCCTCGCTCTTCTCTTTCTCTCTCACTTACGCTCTTTTCTTCACTGGGACAGAATAAAACTCTTTTTGAACATAAAGACACATTTCCTATGTAGCTACTTTGCCTGGCCAACACCAGCTATTTAGGGACTGAACAAAGTGTGAACATGTTTCTGAGCTGAAACTACAATACTAGCTTTTACTTGAGAAAAGCTTTCAGTTCCCAGATCCCAAATGTACTTCTTGTGACACTGGCATCAGTGAAAGCAATTGCAGAGGCACTGTGTGCACTGGGCAGCACAACACAGTTGTTCACACAGCTTCACAGGAAGGTTTCTAAACTGAGGGACCCATTGCTCATGCCAGTACACAAAAACAAGCATCTGGGCATGCTATCCACTGCTAAATACGTGATGAGATGAGAGAAAACAGAGTTTCACCATTTAGGAAAGCAACTCCTGTTCTGCAGACTAAAATTTCAGTATTGAACCTGCTGTGGGAAATCAACACCATCAAGGAAAAAAAAACAAAACAATCTTATGTATACCCAGGCTTGGCCAGCCTCATCTGTCATCCTCTGTCACACAGAACAAGGAACAGTACCAGATATGTAGAAAAGCAGATCACGCTGTCATCGTCATTTTCCAAGAAAAGCCACGCAAGTTTATGCTTCCAGAAGATAAATCCTAATCCCAACAGTAAACATGAGTAAAGTTAAGGAAAAATTCATCATACTTCAGGGTAAAAATGCTTTGTGCATCCAGCTACAAGCTTCCAGCGTGCTCTTCATTACACTTGAAAGAGTGTGAGAACAGATTACACTTTCTGATGGAAAGCCACATGGTCAAAGTTGAAAATGATTTTATGTTCCTTGAATTATTTGTTTACAGCTGTGTACTGCTTTATAAAAACAAGATATGTGAAGCATGAGGCTTCAGAGCAAACCAATTACCAGATCCCAAATATAAGTATTATTAATAGTTTCAATGTGCAGTACATTAATCACAATCAGAAGAGAGTGACATATTTAGTTCCTGCTAAGATGCTGAAGAAGCAAACAGACACAAGCACTACAGGCAGTGAGCGAGCAGAAAATAGTTTTTCATTCTGAAGACGAAATCCCTCTGGCATAGTCCAGGTTTTATAGAAGCCAGGGGAAGATTCACAGTCACTTCAACAAAGTCACGCAGAGACCAGCAGTATCAATCAATAAAGGAAAACCCTCCATTTAATCTAGACAAGAAGTGCTGCTAAGGTTTCACTAGAACCGCTGAAACACAGCAGAGGAAGACGACGTTGAATGCAGTACAGAAAGAAAAGTTTATATACACCTCTGAGAACATACCTTCACTTCTCTGCATCAGTTACACATCTGTGTAGTTGAGTATTCCCAGGAGTAGTTCAAAAGCATCCTGCCTTATACTCAACCAAACCTCTAAGACCTGCACATAGCTGGGCTTTTTGGTTCTTTTATAGTTAATACAAAAGGTAAATTTGAGAACAAACTGTACACATGCAGTTTCCTCTTATTTTTGGCTCTTCTCTTTCCTGCTCTCCAGGAAAAATTACAGATCATTCATTTATAGATATAAACAATTCAGCTACTTGAGATTGGACCAATTTTCCCTTGCTACTGTGAGTTTTACTTTCTTCACATACAAGTCACAAATTACTCTGAAAACATGCAGAGAGCTATAATGATGAACAATTAATTGAGTTGCATGATTAATTTGCTTCTAGCATTCCAGACACAAATATTTATCTGTTCTGTTCATAAGTTCTTATTTCCTATAATGTTTTTACAAGGATTGTATTTTCCTTAAGAAAAAAAATAAAAAAGAAACAAAACATTTAATGTCTTGGCGAGGGCACTACATTTAATAGCTACACCTTAGATTTTATATTGCCATCACTGCCTACACACCAGGCCCCAGGAAGTAGCATGCATTAAAGAGAAATTAAATTAAGAAATCTCAACAATTCTGAAATGCTTTTGTCAACAGAGCAACCTGTAGAGTTACATGCCCACAGACAGACCCAGAAAATGAAGAATATATTCTCAGAATATATTTCTGTATTGACTGATCAATACAGACGTGTATTCTTAATTAAAAAGAGGGATGATCTAAACAGCACTACTGCTGCAGTTACCTCACGTTGTTTATTATTAGAGAGCCATCAACTGTAAAAAAGCACGATCAGGTTGTAGAGAATGCGTCCTTTTCATCTTTATATAATAAGGAATGATTTTTTTTTGGACAGCAAAATGACAGTCTTCTGTCTGGATTGCACACTGACAAGAAATGAATGGAAAAAGGGAGGAAAAATAGACTAACATAGTTGTTTCAGCACAGAGAAGATGGTGGGAGTGGAGTAGTATGAACAGCATCTCATCAATGGGGAGTGAGTGTTCATTACCTTTGGACGCATCCATTCAACTTTTCCTCGTGGGGCTTTTTGATAGAAAAGGGACTCATCTGAGGCTGGAAATTCAGGATCTTCGAAGAGTTGTCTCTGCTGGATACATTGCCTTTTCAGCTCGTGGTACTTCTGATCTCTGAAGAGTTGAACTGATGGAGACATATCTTTCTGTACAGGTAAGACGAATATTGCCTTATGTAAATTATGAAGCCTCTTTAAAGTAGTCCAAAAGATAAAGCATAGTGAAGCCCTCACAAGTATTTGACAACAGAGCATATAATTTGTTCTAAACAAGATTAATTACTGATTTCTGTTTAAGAAACAGATTATAAATTCAACTGTGCTAGGTAGCAGCCTAAAAAATACAAAACAGTATCTTATGTATAAGGATATCACTTACGAATGAAGAGAACTCTTACTAAAAAAGAACTTAAAGGTTCCAGGTAAGAAACAAATACAGCACTTTGCTTTGTCTAATTGATTGGAAATGTAACGGAGAGGATCTTGGTCCTCAGGTTACAGTGCATGTGAAGAGCAAGGCCATGTCTATCCCTGCATTCTTCTGTTGGCCACTAACAATTATCTACTGCAAGTCTTATGCCTACTTAGAATAGAAAACAGATTTCCACAGTTATCCATCTTAATTAAAGTGACAACACTTTAGCTAGCATTGTTGTCCTTGATTTTCATGTTACGTTCCAGGGAGCTGAATTCCCAGAAGTAGAAAACATTAGCAAATAGTGTTGAGAATAATAATAACCACTAGCAATGAGAGAAAAAAAAACAAACAAACTTGCTTTCAGACCTTGGTTCTAAGAATCATGACTATCTAGCTTTGCAAGTTTAGTCATAGTCACAGAGCTCAAATAAGTTGCTTAAGATAATTCCAGAACTCAAAAATTGACCACACAAATCACTTAAGACAATCTGAAGCCTAGGGAACACGAGGGATGGAGATGCTCCCATCTTTGTAGGATGCTATTTGAAGAAAGCAAAGAGAGTACTTGAACTTACTCTGTATGGAACACTTCTTTTCTACAGCAATTTCTTTCCTCTTCCTTCCTAGTATGGGTTAAGGATGTATCTCCCTTTCCTCGAGGTATCTATAGCAATAAAGACAAACACAGGTTACCTCACACCAGCTATAAGAGCTAAAACCACACACTTGCAACAGAGAATGGTGTTATGTTGTCCTAGCAGCCTACTTGCTGTGTGCTGGTGCAGTGATCTCAGCCTGTGATTCCTGAGCAATGTGCATTACACATTGCATAAGATTCCACAGATTTGCAGAAAACTGAACAAAGCTGTGCACAAGCATTTCCCAGCAGGCAAGTGAACACAATAGGGGAAATAGAAAGAAGTAATGAGGAATACTTGGAAACATCAAACTTGCAATGACTGCTTTTGTGCATGAAAGAAAGCTACTGTGGCCAAAATAATAACATAGGAATGGTTTTGAAGCCCTCGTTCCCTTCTTCTCCCACTCCACTCACTCCTTCCTTTCTCTCACCCCAAAATAGATAAGTGTTTCAAGGATGCGAAGTGCTGCTTTACTGCCTTTACTCTTGGGAATGGGTGCTCCTCCAACTCACTGCCATTCTTGCATCCACTCCAAAGCCTCCTAACCACACTCAAAGCAATTCTCCTGTAAGCACAACCTTGTTTCTACCAGAAGAATCTTACACAGCAAAGTGACAGAACAAAAAACAAGTCTATATGAGATATTTGGATGAAACAAATATTAAATGCCTTTCCAGGTATTTAAATCCCCTCTTAGACCAAAAATCCAGAAATATGTTTGCATACATCAGGACTGTAATTACTTGGAGTCAAATTCTAATACCACTGGGATTGAAAAATTTACTGTATCTTCAGCTAGGCCAAGGCTTCCCCTTTTTGAACTAGACCTTTATATTCTGTTACTGTGTTATCCAGCTTCAATGAAATAAAACTGCACGCAATCAACTGCTCAAAAACAAATACCTCACTAATACTCTGCCATTTGTAATAATGTCCTTTTTTCTAATGTTTATTTTCTTGTTAATTATCCCCCTAAAATGTCACAAGACATCTCACTTATCAGATGGTTTCCCAAGACAAGATGAAATAAACTTGCTTCCCCTCACCAGCCAGTTCTTTAAAGTCAAATTATCAACTGTAAAAAGATAGCTCAGGGACAAAAGAAAAGCATTAGTTTGGCTAATCTCAGTAGAATACAGATTATCTCATGATAACCGGTATTCTTGCTTATTAAAAATTCCCCACAAGCTAAGTAAGATTCTAAACTGAGCCTATCTGTAAGACACACTTGTTTTTAAAACAGCCCCAGGGTGATCAGGTTTTCAGCTGCTATTGCCTAACTCATCAAGATTGGTCTTTAATGACTTTGCTCCCCCATCCTTTCTCCCCGTCTATCTTCTGGATTGGAACAGAAGACATTCCAGGATTAACACCCCCACACCCACTGCACCACGGCCAGCATTGCAACAACACACAGATGTGCATTACCTCAAGCTGCTGGCTGTGTCACCCTGGGCTCATGGGCAGCACACCCTGGGCAGAACGTGCTTGAGGAGGAGGAAGCTGCCACCCAGCCTCTTCCATACTCCCTGTGCTGTCCTGAGCAAGGGGCTGGGCACAATCAAGGGGCTGACTGCAGTCTCTGAAACAGCCAAGTGGTCAGAGCACAGAGGCTGAGGGATAGTCTCCACTGACTTGTTTTAAAGCAGGTCCCAGCTGCTGCCCCTCAGTTAAGCACTGAAGCTCTCAAATTACCCAGCTGTGCTCTCTATCCAATCTCAAGTTCACAGTATGCATTAAGATAGCCTTCCCTGCTCTTCAACAGATTTATCTTTGGTTGTGCTGGCACTCACAACATGCAGCTGCACTTCAGGGGAACATGAAGGCAGGCTTGGCAGCTGCTCCGTCCAGGATTCCCTACACTATCACGTGCCATAGTGCGAGCTGCGTACAGCACAGAGAGGGCTGTACCACATTTTAGAGACTGTATAATCAATGAGTATACAGATGTATAATCGACAAGTATACAGAGAAGTTATGCTGGTCTTTAGAGAGCATATAGCTGGAAAGATCATCAATTGGAAAGAGATAATAGGAAAGGAACAGAAAAGCTTACCTGCGTTCTGGGCTCACAGAAAAAGACTCCAAGAGGAGTGATCTCCAGAGAGAGATCCTTCCTCACTGCCAGTCAGACCTTAAATGGAGACTAGGAGAGGTGGAGCCAGGCTCCAGCCCTTCTGATCACACAGGTGAATTGCCTTCACCTGTGCTCCCACGGCTGACTCAGTGCTTGCCTCAGGTGATCAATCAGAGGTTCAGGCCATGATTCAATAATTCCCATACAAAGAGCCTTGGCTACTCTATCAAGGAAAGGAGATCACTCTATAAGAAGGACAGAAGACAAAGAAGAAAAGAGAAAGAAAAAAAAACAAAACAGCTCTAAAGATTAGACATCATGTTTTTTGCTGATTGTTCTTTCTCTAACTGTATGTAACAGCTTAGTTCTTTTCTCTTTTCTGGTCTCTGAGCTGAGCTCCCCAGCAGTTCAGCACAGCTGACCCCAAGGTTTCTCTGGAGCCACGACTAAGCCCCTTAAGCCAGCAGTATAGGAGGTTCTGCATCTCTTGACTTTCAAACACCAAGCTTTAAGGTCTTTCTCTTACCCTCTTTTTTCCAGTGGAATTCTTCACAGCACAGTAAAGCCAAGCCACTGCGGGTCCCCTCTTCCATAGGGCTCCACCTAAGGTTCACCCCTCAGCCTGGCAGTACAAGCACTGTGTCCTTACAGTTCACACTCAGAGATGCTTCCCCCATCAGAGTGAGCAAGGCTCTGTCTTAATCACATTCAATATAGCTGCAAATACCAGCTCCTGGCAGCCTTAAATTAAAGGGACATCTACTTGAAATGCATTTCTTCACAAGATTATTAAGTATTATTCCCACTCTGGAGAGCCCCAGTCAAACACTCTTTCTTTACACTCACATTTTCCCATCTTAAATGTTCTCTTCCCAGCTGCTATGCAGAAGGTCCACAACAAACAGGGCTGACTAACTGTCCAGACAGGCTGAGTGAAAATTACACTCTAGCTGCTATTAAAGCCATGCAATGAGCACACAAGAACTAACACTAGAAGTCATCTCTTTTAAGCCTATTTGTGTTGTTGTGTGTAACTAAGCACCATGCAGGATAAAAAGTCAGAGAGGAGTTGCTGAAGCTGTGGAGCTAGCTGCTCTGTACACAAACCTCTTCTCACTGCCATCCTCACAGGAGGGGTGCAGGGACAGCACTGAGCTGGTTTTGCCTTATAGAAAGCAGTAATTTCCCCTCCAAAGGTGAATGCTGCCAAGCAGCTGCAGCAAAACCTCTGTTCTAGATGGAACTCCTCTTCAAGGAAGAGACTTGGCATGCTATGCTACATTAATTCTACCACATACCCCACTTCTCTGTTCCAACTGAAGGATTCAAAGGAGTTTTCATGCACAGCAACAGGACTAAAAGGGCAAAGTAAACTTCTAGTTGATATTTAACTCCACAGTGGAACAAAACGCTGCTCCTTCCAACAAGCAGCATCCCCAGCCTCAGCACTGGGACCCTGGTGGTCAGGAGCCCCTGCCTGGGATGAGCAGGGGGATGCCAGCAGGGACACACACAGCACGTACTGTGCTCTGGGGTGGCACCCAGCTTTTAAGATATTATCCATTTGCTAGCACCAAGCTTGCTTTTTCTTTCATGCAAATGGCAACATTACCAATAATAATCAGTATTTGGTTCTTGGGTTCCCTTTTTGGAATTGGAGTTGTGAACTGCCTCAACATTGTGGAAAAACTCTAAGCTCTACTCTTTCAGAACCGATCTGTCACTCAGCCTTAGAGCCACTGTTTGGATTATATCAGCAACACAGGGACTCAAATGCTTAACTGTTTGCAAACATAGCTGCTTAGTGCTTTTGCAAACATCTCTTCCTCAGAACTCCAAACTTGCTTCAGAGCAACCGAGTCAGTGAGTGCCTCCAGAAAAGCAGCCAAAAGCTTTAAATTACTCTGAACTGTTTTTCTATAAAACTCCTAATTGAAAATGCTTCCAGGACTTCAGCTGGAAAAGGTTATTTCCTTCTCCTTCTGTGCAGAATGACTGCAGGTCCTTACAAAACAGCGACTCTGCAAATTTGCATTATGTGTCAGGGAATTTAAAACAGTTGCAAAACTTCTGCTTCACATACACTGCAGCTTCACGATCTTGACCATTACTTTCCTACTAATGCATCAACAGCATCACTGCCCATTACATTAAACATTCCTACTGGAGAAATTTACTCATTTGTATTCTTTAAACATTTCAACATAGTAACTGCACTGGGAGTCTGTATGCTATAATGCGTATCCTCTGCTCTTCGGCATCAACTTATTTAAAGCACAAAGTCAGTGTTAAACTCATATCTTGTGGATATGCAATTGCATTAATAAGAGCATGCTCAATTCAAATCAAATTTGCTACACAGAGTATTTCATAGCACTGAGGACCCGTGTCAATGACCATGGCTCTTCTCAGTTTGGCATAGCAATGCTCTCCTCACAGGATGAAATACCAAGTGTTATTGCAAGCTTTGAAACAGCACGGTGGTACCATGTTAGCCATCCTCTCATCCAGCTTTTGAATTTTCTACAAAATAAGGTTAATTTGACTATTTATGGCACTTGGTACTTAACAGGTATAAAAAGGTTTCCCTGTCTCAGCTCAAGAATTCACTGCAGGAAAGAAACACAAGCGTTTTTCTTCTCATATAAACAGAAAGATGCCAACATTGTGCTGCTGCTCAGTTTTGCCATACTTTGCATTCAAATTGATAGATCAAAGATCACATATTTTCAACTGAGAACATCTGCTTCCAAGCAGAAATTCGGGGGAGGCTAACTAGATAGCAGGAAGAGGACTGGCCACAACTGTTTGCTTTCATGGATGGTATCAATGAACAGCAGAATCTCCTGGCTGCAAACCAAAGCTTTGCTACAATAACATTAATCACAACATGTTCCTTTTCTTCTACTGCAACATGATAGTGCTTAACTAGGGTTTTTTTCAGGGCTCATCGAGACAGAAAGTTTACATATAGCAGTAATTGGGAGACAGGATACAGCTTCTAATGCAAAGCCCACATCCAGCAGAACGGCTCAGGGAGAGGAGCTTCAAGACCAAGTGTGCCCTTCCAATGAGCCCAAGAGCTGAACAGGAGCCCTACTAGGAATGCTGCTATTTATTTTCAGTTTGCAGTCCTCACACTGATTCCCCTATCCTCATGAGACACAAGCTGCACACACCGCTAGCATGCTTGCATGGTGACAGTGAGGGGACAGAACTCAGCTCTAAGTCACTGACTGCTGACACACAGCAGCAGTAATTCAAGGCAAGTGCTGACCAGCAGTCTAGTTATCTCTCAGATGTAGAGGAATACACAAGAAACTACAAATACAGTGCTGAAGCATCATCCCTTTCTTCCAACCTTTCTTCTAGTTGGGCCACAGCCAGAAAAAACGCAAACCCCATTCTTACCCTCCAGAAAGGCAGTGCTGGATTCACACTGGAATTGCTGGCTAATTGCAAGCTGCAGCCACCTCTCCCACAGTTGGAAGCACAGCTGTTCAGAGTTTGAGGGCACTAGCTGAGGGTGCTGGTGCCCAGGTGGAGCAAACAGCAGTTGAGAAATCTGCACTTACAGGTGATTATGCTCAAGAGGGAAGGCTCCATCTGGCACGAGCAGAGATTGCCCCACAGCCTTCAACCCAACTGAAAAAAATATAGTAGTTTTTTTGCTACCCTGTTTTGTGTGACCCTTAGCCCTATCCAAATGTAAGAATCAAACTCCTAGAGGGCTTTTTGCACCAAGAGTGTGAGCAGCTTGGCCAGCGGGGCAATTTGATTGGAAGCCACTGCACCAAGCAGCTCTCTCTGAGTAACATGAGGCAGTTAAGTTTCTCTGAGTACATTTTAGCCCCAAGACACCCGTGCTTTGCCTGTGTTCCGCTGCAGATGCACAAGTCCCTTGTTAGATCTCAGTCAGCATTCAGAAATTCAAAACACTGCACATCTGGGCTCGAAGGGGCTCTATAGAGCAGGCAGGGTGACAGTACAAGAATGAACACAGAGCACAACAACGGAACAGAACAGCAGGAAACACTTTTCTAAACAGCCACGCACCAGCACTGCCAATGTGCTTTAGAAGTGCATACCCAGGGATGCTGCTTCTCTTTCAGGTCAGAGATTGCCACATGCCTAATTTTGGTGCTGTTTCCCTGGTGGAAGGAAACCTGTTTGGACCTGCGTACGTTGCACAGCATTCAATCTTTGTCCATCTTGATTGTAAGCTAACATATTTTTCTTGTTACCGACAAACAAGTGAAGACACAAAGTGGCCAAAGGGCACATTTAAAAAAAAACATCCAGGCAAACCAGATTTCCCAATTTGCACAGGCACCAGCATATTTTTTAAAAATGTGACCCTCAGTGGCATCCACTACAGCCCTGATCCCAGGGAGATTTACAGCTAATTACAGAGAGGTACCATTCCAGTTTTGAATTCAAAAGAAAGTAATTTAATATGATGGATGCTGATTGTTACAATTAACATTAACGCAAGTCAAGAGATCTATAACAAACTGTAAAGAAAATGCTAACAGCAATGTCAGCCAATTTGTTCCAGCCATGCTTTTGTACTGAAACCACGGGGAACAATTCTCTTTAGAATTCCAATCTCTCTCCATCCTGTCTTTTCATAAAAGCTAGTTCAAAAAAGGTCTACAATCGCAAATTAATGGGTAACTCTATCAGGCTACTCCATTATTTTATGCATCCACTTATCTACTATTGTAGACACAGTATAAAAGTCTCTCCTTTGGAAAAAATAAGAAAGATGAAAATACCCACTTGAATTTCCACAGTGAAAGAATCCACAGTGAGAACTGGCATAATTTCTGAAGATCAGAAACAGTATGGAAAATGGAATTATATGAGAACTGAGATTAAATCACACTTCATCATTCTGGCCCCCTTATTTGGTATAACTGATAAAGATGGCTGTGTTGGTGCTTGGCTGGTTATTCCAGAAGCAATGAGAGCAGCCACACTTTGCAGTAAATCACAGTGACTGCCTGGCTCAATGTTAGCATACAACTGTGATGCCACGTTCTGTAAGAAATGTATCTTAAAGCAGTAGACAAAAGCATTTTGTCACTGCGCTTGCTGAAGTGCTGTTACTAGTAACAAGTGTTCATCGTGGTGCTGAAGCTGCAAATCAAGTAAATAAAGCTTTCCTTAATACCTTCTGCACTTACCTAGCTGACATGGGTCCTGCTCCGAGGCACATCAAACTCCAAACGGACTCTTGCAGACAAAGATCCCCTCAGCTTCTTAACCTGAAACTCTTTGGATTGTACCAAGAGCACATCAGTAGAGGGGTGTGTTTCACGATGACCCTTACAGTGATGATGAGTCACGAGGGACTCCAGGAAACAATCCGAGCTGACCCAAAATGCAGAGTCTTGTTTATTCCTGGTAAATTGTTATCTGTAGTTGTGGCTGTAACTGGGAATGAATTTTTAAAGGAGGAGATGAGGCAAGGCTGCTTGGCAGGAGTTGCAGGCATTTTTTGTACGGAAAACAGGGCAGATTAATGTGCATCATGAAAGAAATGATGTTCCTTATTAGGCTGCGCGCTGTTCCCCAGTTGCATAAAGCCACTGTCAATGCCTTGGCCTCAGCGGGCCCTTCTGATAGCGGCCTGTCCAGGCTGTGGGGAAAAATCAGACAGCATTTCTGTGGGACCTGCAGTTGGGTGCCGGTTAGCAGACCACGAGATGCTGCAAAACCCAACAGGTGGCTTTGTGCCCTCAACCACGAGTGCTGTGGCAAGCCCAGAGCAGCCTTGGGACGGTTCTTGCCAAGTTCTGCCTCCTGGTTTGACTGCAAGCAGTCTAGCATGTGCCTAAAATATGCTATTTCTATTTCCCTTGCAGAAGGGAAAAGCCTGAATAGGGAAGATGTCCTGGGAGAGCCTCAGAACAGACTCCAGAGGTCCCAAGTTGTCCAGGAAGCTGAGCTGTTCCACAGCTGTGCCAAACAGCTCTTTATGCCTGAGATGTCACAAAACTGCCCAGGCTCTCACGCACTTGTCCAGTCTTGCTCCTCTCCCCTGGCTAACAAGGGAAGACAGGCCAGTTCATGTATAGAAATTGGGAAAATAACACATTTTTCTGTGCTGGGTAAGATAATTTTTTTTTAAAAGTCAGAAATAAATTCCCATTTTAAATTGGTTTTGGTGAAACAAGCTTTTCTACATATTCCACTTAGCTACAATTTCATTCTGGCTAAATCCTGAACATTTGGGTTAACTTGACATGACAGTTTTCTCATTTGAGGACCATAAAAAAAATTCACCTTTACCTTTGGGCAGCTTTCACTTACATTTCTGTAGATGTAGCCCAGTTCCTAAACAAGTATCACTTACTTAAGTAGACACTGCAAATTGTCATTTGCACCAGTAGTCTTAAATATTCCCACCAATTTGTTTCTTCCATTTCATTCTTCCTATTACAGCATAGCTGGCCTGAGTTTGCAAATAGGCCCACTCCTCCCAGACCTCGCTATTCAGCAAATCTACTTGCCTAAAGGAATTTGATCTCAGGGGACAAGTTACACTCAGAAAGCACTATGAAGACAAAGTGTTAAATAAGATCATAAATCTCTGTTCTGCAGGCTCACTGTAGGACTGCTTGCTTTCTTATAAAGAGCTTACCCAGCTTCCTTTTGAAGGCATGCTGAAGTTTGGACAGAAAGTCCCTGGAAGCTGCCACTACAGCTCTAGCATGTAATGCATTAAAAAAAAAAAAAAAAAGCCCTACACAATAAAGCCATGTGTTTTCAATTTGTCATTGAGTAAGCAGACTAGAGTTTAAATCATAATAAGAAACCAATGTCCTCCTATATACACCACGCATGCTGTGATTCATTTGCACGGTTGAGAGAAGAACATGGAAAATCACATGAGTACAACAAAATTCTGCTATTTTCTGAGGTGATAATTTTCACAGCTTATGTAGACATGTTCTTGTGTAGCTGCCTTTGATCCACCGTGGAACAAAACTGTGAGAACTTTTTTATGTATTAATCTGGTGCCATAATCCAAGAATTACATGTCATTTATCTGGGCTGAGGAGGAGCTTCTCCTGAAGTCTCATAAGAAATTCCCATAGAAAGGAAGCAAGATGAGCCTCACAGGCAGGCAACCAAGGGCAGGCAGACAGCTGTGTTCTCACTACAGAACCATGACCAAATAAAGCCCACCTTGTAATTCAGGAGGATTGCATCAAAGTACTCAGAAAGACACGCTCACATACACTGCCATGGTCTAGAAAGAGGTCTCACAAGCTGGGGACAACATGGCCTTTCAAACACAGTTCCTGAATCTTTGGAAGTCGTTGCCAGCAGCCTTTAGCCTGCCAGTGGAAGGTATCCTGAGCACCATCATCACATGCTCTTCTAGGCTGCTTCACACTGATGATTCAACCTTGCTTCAGAACTCCTCGGTTTGCCAGCAGGGACACAGGACACGCTCCTCCTCCCTGCAGCACACTGTTTTCCTGTGCTCCAAGGCAGCATAGCCCCGACTGTGGCACATGGCCAGATGGTGCTGTGCTGATCAGCAGTGTCTCACCCAAGGCCCCTCACAGCTGCAGACAGGACACAGCTGAGTAGGACTGCTCATGACACGGCTGCCAATGACTACAAGGGATTGTTATCTAGAAGCAAGCACTGATTTTCTCTTCTCCACCCGATCTTGACTCAGGAGAGTTCCTCTTAGGGAAGGACTCCCTTCACAAAGGACATGACAGCACAGTCATCTTCACTCCAGATTTGGGCTGTTTTGTACTGAGGCTGTTTTCATGCCTGTCAGAACTGCTACAACTGCACAGTGTCAGGGCAGCTTTGCCCAACTCACGACTTCATACTACAGACACCTTGCAATCATATTGCACTACCAGGTTCTTGTGTCCCACCAGAGTTACGCTCATCTATTATTCACTTAAATGCATGGGGCAATTTGTTAATAAAACATCAGGTGGTTTCCAGCAGAGATTCTCCTTAAAGTCTACATGTTTATTCTACACTTTAATTTAGGCAGTTCTGTAGAGAGGACCCCAAGAGGCAGAACTTGAAAACTAGCCACAGCACACAAATAGCTTTCAGAGTTGCATATCCAGTTAAGGTCTGATCCTGCTCAACAGCAGCACTTTCAGTACCCAAATGGCGGCTGTAAGAAAGAAGGGGAGTTTAAAGAAGTTTAGCAGGTCTGTCGTGGTAGTGTAGGAATGTAATGTTGTTCCTGCATTAGATATCATAAAGAGGGAACTGATCTGAAGAAGCAGACCACAATGTATTTGTATTTGCATTTTGTAACTTGTGCTTAGAAATAGCTGATGTGAAAAAGTAAAAATACCATATGTTTTAGCAGCAGATTTTAGAAATACAGCAGCTCAATTATGTGATAATTCTTCCTTGCAAAACTGCAATAGTTTAAATGTTGCAAATAACAGGGGTATAGTATTATGGACTAGTAAGGCTATTCTGTATAGAAAAGAGACCCTCAGCTGAAAAAAACCAGACTTGACAACCATCAAAGAAGCCAGGGCCTCCACACAAGGCCAGACTGCCTCACTCTGTGGGTAGGTTGGGATGCAACAGACAGGAATCAAGACCAAGATACTCCCCTTTATCCTCCTTCCAAACTTATCTCTATCCAAGGACAAGCAGATGTCCAGAAATAATGACCGAGTGCTGAGTGAGCAAATGTTGGAAGTTAAATAATTAGCAGTGTATGCTTAGCTACAAAAATTTATGTTTAGCCAGTATCTGTATGTTTAGCTGAGCATTGGGAAGATTGTGAATCTGAAGCACTCAGACAATGAGGAACCAGGGGAGGAAGAGATAAGTATAGCATAATAGGGCATTAAAGATGTAACGCTGTTTTCTGTGTGCACTCCTGTTTGCAGGATGCCTGCCACTGCAATTCTGAATAAAACGTTTTCATCAGAGATACCGTCCTGATAAATTATTTGGATATTTCCAACATTAGGGCAAGAGGAAATGGTTTCAAAACTAGAAGAGGAGAGATTTAGACTGGATATAAGAAGTTAGGGCAGTGAGGCACGGACACAGGTTGCCCAGGGAGGTGGTGGAATGTCTCCCTGGAGACACTCAAGGTCAGGCTGGATGGGCTCTGAGCACCTGATGGAGCTGTAGGTGTCCCTGGCTCATTGCAGGGGGGTTGGACTGATGGCAAACAAGTGTCCCTTCCAACACAAATAGCTCTGTAACTCCATGATTCTAAGGGGCTGTGCTTTGCCTCGGGCTGCAGCTCCCAGAAAAGCTCAGTGGTACTGAGGGGTCTCTGTGCAGGTGTACAGGATTTATCCTCTAATTGCATTAACCACAGAATTTCTAAATCTTCAGAAATAAAGGACTTGGTTTTACATTAAGAAACACGATTTTAACAGAATTTGGGGGAAAGAAAAAACAAGTCAACACAGTCACTCCCTGAATTCCCTTTCGGAAACAAGAGCTGAGACAGGTGTTTGCAATTATTCTTTGGGTAGGTCCATCACGGAGGAAAAAGAGCCTGAAGCAGAGCAGAGGAAAATGGCTCCAGGACAGGCACAGCGTGAGGGAAAGTCCACAGCGCTTCACCGAATGGACATCACCGAATCACCTGCGAAGAGTGCACAATCAGAGCATGGTGTTGGGCCCTTCAGAGCACAATCACAGCATGGTGTTGGGCCCTGCGAGGAAACAACGGCACACTCTCTGCCGGTGCCGGCGGGTGCAGCACCTCGCACCTCCCCGGCGGACCCCGAGAGCAGCCGGGAGCGGCTCGGGCGCACGGCTCCTTTCCCCGCCCATCGCCAGATCCGCGGCTCCCTCCACCGCCGCTCGCTAGGTGGCGGCCTCGCCCAACGGTCGGCGGCCAGTCGTTCTGCTTCCCGCCTCGGGCGCTGCCCGCCGCCATCTTGCTCTGAGGATCGCCCGTTACCCGGAGGGCGCAGCGCGGACCGAGTTTGGGGGATTCGCCTCTTCAGCCCGTCTTGCGGAGAGCGGGTGCCCGCCTGCAGCTTTGTGTTGAGGGAGGAAAGCGGCTCAGGGAGTGGCGATGTGGCCACTTGTGCCCTTGGCACGTCCTCTAGCCTTCGCGTGGCCGCGTTGATGAGGTGCTCGCGCACCGCGCTGACACGGCTGTGCTCGTGTAGGCAGACGGCAGTCAGGCTGAAAAACGCACATGAAGAGGAAACTCCCTGAGGCTCACAGTGAACACAGGAGTTCCCTTCTCTTTGAGCTGCCATTGGTATTCTGAGTGTTGTGTAAACATTAAATATTTAAAACATTGCCTGTAGCATTCTTGTTTCTCAGAGGGATTTGGATAAAGCCGTTGCTGACTCAGGGTCATGAGAACATCTCTCAGGTTGAACCATTTTCCGTGCTCTGTGCAGCTGAGATTTCTAGGAGCAATCTCTGCAATGGGCTCAATTCATAACCTTGTTTAACACCAGGAGCTGGAGGGGGCTTTGGTCAGTTAGTTCCCTCATCGCTTGTGGTCTACGGGATGCTGCTGCAGAAACACCATTTGAGCCTTATATAGGTTTCATCACATCGGCCACGATGAAAGGTAAACTACTTTACAAGGCACCATGTTTAGGTGGAGTCTCGCGATAGGTGGAATAAGCTATCTGCTGGAAATGGCTCCAAGCCTGTGCTCCTCAGATCCCAGCTCTGCAGCTCATTTCAGGTACTGATAACTCAGCAGCGACCTTAGTTTCACATGTAAAACTCTTGGTTATTCTTCCCACCAGCACCTGAAGTAAGAAATTCCAAGTCCATTTTAGGTATCTGCTCTGTTTTGGCTCTGACCCTAGGTGATTCTGCAGGTCACACAGAACGCTGTGGCTGTGTCAATTGAAACCAGTTGAAACCTGTCTCCTGAGTCATAGCCCAGTGCTCTAATTGCTCTTATCCTAGTGCAACTGCCCTGCAGTTTTACTGACAACCGATCTAATGTTCTGATCAGCAGCAGAGCATCTTGAGTCATTTAGATTTCAAGATTGAGGATATTCCGAGCAGGCTTGTTTTTCTGTATCTAAATCTCCGTCTCTAGTTTGATGGAATAAGCAATGACAAGGATGCTGTTCTTGTCCATGTGTGCCTGGAAGTCTGTCCCAGAGTGCTTTGTCATGAAGTGGTAGCATAAAGAAAGTATCCTATAGAAAGAGCTACAAGAAGGGCACAGGAGGACATGTTTCCCCTCATTTTTCTGGCACGTAACTACACTGCCTCCCCTTTCAGTCCCACTTCCCACCCAAAGGACAACCCATTCATTTGCAGAGCTACAAAAGCTTGGCCTCATCTCACTGCATTTCGCTCATCTTCCTGTTGTAAGTGCGCAGTAATACATGGGTGGGCGACCTCATTTGAGAGTTGATTTCATTATAGATCAAGTGTGTTCCACCCCTCACATATCTCATAGTTATCTTCTTCCCTGATGAGGACTTCTTAATTAAAGCATGAACAATTTGTGATAGAACAGCGTTTTCCAAAGATTTTCTTTCCTGGGCAGAGAGATGCACTGTTCTCCAAAGACTAGATTGGTAAACTATTTATCATGACTCTGTTAATGCATCCTGCTCTAGTTGTTGTTCAGCTTTCTAAGCACTATTGCAAGAATCATATTTTACAGGCCAGTCATAGATTTGGCTGTGAACAGATGCAGTATTCCTATTTTGTAGGATTTTTTCCACTTTCTCCTGTCAGGCTGCTGTACTGTGTTAATACAAGCTCAGGTTGGCTTTAAAGCCATACTTTACAACAAAACTGAGGCCATATATGTCACAAAATTACATCTTTGCCCCATTCCTGTTCCCAGGGAAGGGCAGTTGTATTCCCTGTTCCACCAGCAACTGAGGACTCCAGGAGAACATCCTGTCTGTGGGAAGAAAGTCACTGATTGCTCCAGTGCGCTCTACCAAACTTTGGCAGTCTTCCAGTGTCCCAAGAGCACCCAGCCATGCAATGCCCTCATCTGCCTTTGGGATCCAAGCTAGCACTGCAGATCTGTGCAGCTCAGCTCCCTGCCCCACGTCCCACTGTTTGGTGTACACTGGAGGCTTTTAATCCTGCTTCCTACATCCACATTTTTATAAGCTTCTAAGGCAACTAGAGCTGCAGGTCAGCCTAATGGGGCTGATAAAACACTGATATAATTGAAGTATTGCCACTAGGAAGTTCCAACCACTATTGTGTTTTTGCAGTTTCAGGAGGACCTCCCTGTGGTTATGAATGCTCTTATCATTCGGGTATCTCTGCTTTTGAAGGTGGACAAACACTGATTGATATGTTGTCCGAAGATCAGCAAACAGCAGGCCTGCAGTAGCAACCCCTGAGAGAAATTTTTAAAATTGCAAAATTTTATGACACACAGTAAAAGATTGCATCTGAGAAAGTGACCAGACTCATAATTTGTTGCCCAGGGCTCAAGAAGACCAAGATTTGAAGACAGGCACAAAGCATCATTTCCAGCGATCAAAAATCCTTCTCTGATTGACCCTCAGCCTCCACACTCTGTTAGAAGCAGTTAGAAGTTAGAAAAATTGGTGCTGTGTATGTGGCAGCCTGTTGCCACTGAATGGACATGTTGTCAGGTACCTTCAGGAATAACCTTTTTCTCCAGAGTTCCAGTTGCATTCCTAGCTGTCATTCTTGTGGTAACTAGAAGAACAGAGGTTTAATGATCTTAATGGCATTTCCCATGGCTGCATGTGGGTGCTAAAAGCATATTCTGAACACTTAAAGTAGAAGATGACACACGCACCAGGGATAGTGCACAGTTGTCAGAAGAAACAACTCAAATCTGTTTCAAACAGCTGTTCAGCTGCCAACATCCATTTGGGTGCACTGACTGGAAGACCTATGCTTAAAATATATCAGCTTCTAGCGAAAGTGACTTATTTTTACTCATTTAGCATCCTTTACTGGCTCTTCCGTTTTCACTGCTTTATACCACATTGGTAGTCCAGCTAGACACTGTCCTGAGCAAAACAGGAAGATGTTCTTGAGAGAAGATGCTTTTTTGCAATGACAAACCACTCCAATAAAACCCAACTGTAGCTGGTGGCCTAGAAACTGGAGCCAGGGGTGAGAGAGGCCAACAGGAGTGGATGTCACCACAGGGCTAGCACTGTGTGTCCTAAAGATGGGAAATTTAGACTGGATATTATATATTATTTTTTGCAATAAGGGCAATGAATCCTGGCACAAGTTGCCCAGAGACATGGTGGGTGCCCAGTCCCTGGAGACACTCAAGGTGAGGCTGGACAGGGCTCTGAGAACCTGATCAAGCTGTGGGTGTCCTTGTTCATTGCAGGGGAGCTGGAGTGATGACTTCCAAAGGTCCCTTTCAACTCAAATGTTTCTATGATTCTGCAGTGAGAGGTGCTTTGCAAGGCTCCAGTTGTCCCACTGCTCGGACGGTGAGCATGTCACTGGTGTTCCTGATGGCTGCTTCCTCCATCCAAAGGTAAAATATGTCTTGGAGAAACTTAGGGTCCCTTCTCTCTTATGCACAGTTGATGTTGTAAGATTTAACACAAGGGGTCCAACTGTAATTCAGAGCATCACACAGAGACTGAGTGGGTGTTAGTTAACAGTATTGCAAATACAGGGCTGAAAGCCTGCAGATTTCAGGCCATTGGAGTTTTCTTACTTATTTTGGAACTGTAAAATTCAATATTGCTGACGTGGTGCCTTAAAAAAAAAGAAAACTGTAAAGTATACGGACTTGTTTTCTGGGTGGTTCACATCTGTCTGCAAGTGTGCAAGACCTGCATCATGGTAAAGGTGATGCTTTCATGGAAAACTATACTTTTGAATTTTAGGTTGGGAGAAAGATTGGGGCAGCAGAGCAGGTGGCTGTGGAAAACAAGGGACAGATCTGAGACTACCAAAGGAACTGTGCAGAGGATTTAGATTTGTTGACTTCTTTAAAGGTGTTTTATTTACAGAAGACAGAAGATTAAACTTCACCACATAACAATGGAGCCAGAGAGCTGATGCTACAACCCTGTTCAGCATTTCACAGAGCTAAGCTGCCACAGCGCATTTCTATTCTTCTTGGTCTGGCTGCAATAT